ATTAAACTTGCGACACCTCCAAATTTTTTTTATAAACATAGCCTCGATTCAACCTATTTTACAGCATTTGCCTCATACCTTCACGCAGGAGTTCTCTATACTACTGGAAGAGCAAAGTCAAGGAAATTTCATTCACTTAGTTTTTTTTTTTTTTGCAGCAGCAGCATCAGCAGCTCTTGACCGTCATACCACTTTATATCTGATGCCAGTTATTAGACTCAAAAACAAAAGGCTAAAAATCAATATATTTTCTTCTACATAATTAGAGCTTCTTCAGTAAAATTAAGTAGCCTTGCCCGTTAACAGAGCTTTACACCTTCTTTCCTTTCAATTTTTCACAGTTCATTCTGCAACTGCAGCTTTCACGTCAGGCAAATTAGAATTCGCCTTTTGACGATTTACAGATTTCTGACTTAGTCGACAGATATTACCAAACATCACTTTGTCAACACCTTTTATTTTCAGCTACCTATTTTTTATGACCATGACTCAGTAAACTAACCTTCAATAATAACAATTTCACTTTATTTTTTCATATTCTTAGATGCTGGACTAATTATATATTTAAAAAAGTAACTTCTAAATATGTATTGATGCATTTGTAACTTATACTTCAATCACCAAAAGTTTTTATACATTAGCACTTCATAGTTATGTTTTAACAAGCCCATATTTTAATTCAACTAACTGTCATCTGCTAGATGATCCATCGGCATAGCGTTGCTCACATTTGGTAAGCTTGATCTTCCTAAACTTCCCACACAGCTTTCAAATTCCTAAGTCATGATTATTAGCTTAATCACTTTTTTAATTATATGTACCGTCAAATTTAAATTAATCCTTTTCTGCTCTGATACCTGTTAAGAAAAGCAAATTTCAAAAAAATTTTTTGCTGTTTTGGCTAGTTAGGAAAGAAAAACCAGTCAAAGACTATTCTGATACGGGCCATCTTTAGCTTTCATATCACAACGGCTTAATTCAGTATACGAACCCGTCAACGTTTGGATGTTAATTTAACTCTCAGTCTATCGTTTTTTTTTCTTCGTTCACTGTAGATGGCGGAACAAAAAACTAACAATTATCTAAACGCACGAGAATCTCTTTTAGAATTACTGTCTACCCTTTGGGTTTAACTTAGTTCCGGCTGCATTCATAATTACTTCTCAAATGGCAGCGAGGTAGTATGGAGTAGGTGACATCTTTATTTTGGCCGAAAACCATACAGAATCAGTGTTTATAAGCTACCAGCTGATTGCATCACGTTGTTTTTATTTCATCAGGAAAAATTTCTCTACCAATTTAAAAAGAGATTCATCTATTAAAGATTTTCGTCAAGCTTCTGGTAGCTGATTATTCTTTGGATTGAAGAAAGAAATATTTTTTCGCAACTTTATTTGTGGATCATTTAGGTTTTACTGTAGACTGAAAAGATATTGAACCAAGTCATGATAAACTACAGCTATTCAATGGGCACTAACAAGTTCGGATTTCTATCCTGCTCATCCCTGCTTCAAGTTTGCCAATTATTATCCAAAACACACTTCTCAATTGCATAATCTGAAAATTCTTTAAGAGCTGTGACAAAAAGAAAAAATGTCTCGTTTGCGCAGTTTAATAAGTGTTAAAAAGCTTTTTAACATATCGTTCTCGTTTCTTCGTATGTCCCCCTTCCTCCTTTCCCTGTTTGACATGTTTTATAACAGATTGGCCTCCTCTCCTTGCTTCAGGTGTTTCTAGCGTTGGAAGAGTGTAACTTACCTCATTCTTCCATAAATGGAATAGAAGAAGGAACTGCTAACGCGGCAAAGCCACCGAACGTGTTTATTCAGAAGCTGGGAAAGAAAATTTGGGTTTAGCTTTCAGAGTAAAATTGTTCTTGTTTTTCTGGAAAAAGAGGTTCAAGTCGCTTTCAGATCATCAGCCACAGACAACGGTTTTTGATTTGACAAAAGGAATTTCTTTGCTAACTATTTTTTGACAATTTTTTAAAAGGTTTATCGAACCGCGCTGCCAGTTTTTTGCTAAGCGGATGGTAAGAAAATGAAAAAAGTTGTTGAGTACCTCTTTGATTACAAAATATGTAGGCTTTATCTTTTTTTTTAAATCTGTAGGGTTTATTTCTTTTGAATTGTGAAACGTTTTCAACCATTTCTGCTCTTCTAAACACATTGAGTATACACTCGTTTATGATTGCCTGAAGAATTTAATGGCGATTTTGATAAGTTACGAGTTCGAAAAAAACACTAGTTTGGTCAAGTTCATGCTAAGTCTCTGCAGTCTTTACTATTTTCGTCGGTAGACGTAAGAAATGTCATATCACCGGGCAAAAATTTAGGACTGTTGCACAAAACATAAGTGATAGTGCAATGAATTGTGTTAAAATTCTCTCCCGTTTTCAAAAAGCTCTGCTCTTCCAGTAACTAATCATTCGATTTTTAAAATTTTTGAATGATTGTTCCTTTCTAGCTACGTAATTACATATTAAGAACTTTCTACATTCCTGTCATCCTGAAATCAATAAAATGATGTCAGAAACACAGCAGTGCTGCTACTTGCCCAAGATAGGCAAGAATACCGGAGACTGTGTACAAAAATGTTTATCTTGCAACAGTGCTCAAAAAGTATTCAGAAAAACGTTATTCTAAATCTGGCTAAATACTACGAAACCTTAGATGTTGCTACACGCATGTTTTATAAAAAATATTAAAGGTAAGTACTACTTAGTTGTGGAAGAATCAACGTCTAAATGACTAGACATGTTCTGCTGTAATTCAACAAATGTGAAAGTTTTACGGTTGAATCACTGGATATTTATTCCACTCGCTCCATAATTTCAGAATCCTAAATGATAGACAAAGGGGCGCCAATTCCGTCAGTAGAATTCCGCAGATTTTGTACTCGAAGAGGTATTCAACACCTTTTTTGTTCTCTTACCATCTACTTAACAAAGGATTGGCAACGCAGTTCGATAACGCTCTAAAAAAACTTTTCCAAAAATTTGCCGTTATTGTGGAAAAGAAAAATATTCCAAATATTCCTTTTCCTTATCTTCATTTTGTACACTGACCTACCAACAACGTCACTACCACGTTTCTTAAAGACCATGAGCTTTGTCCAACAATAGGTTTTCTACTATTACATATGAAATTGGAACAGCTATAAGAATGGAACTTTTTGAGTCATCCGGTTAATGTAATTGACATATCGATGCAAAAATTAATCAAATATCAAATACAGGTACACTAAAAATTTAAAACTCTCGGTACTTCGTGAATCTCTTTTTCTGTTTCAGCAATACGAGTGTTAAATGTTTCAGAGTAAAACTTGTTAAACAGTTAGTTTGCAGCAGAAAAGAGGAAATTTCTGTGAAAGATGTTAAAAGCAGAAAAGATACAAACGAGAAAATTTTTGAAATTTTAAATCTTTTTTGATGAAGGTCTGATGCTAATTAATAGAATTTTTTACTCTTTAATAGGCACAGGTCAAGGTGTTTCGTATTACAAAATACTAAATAAACGTTTTATTTAAAACCACACGCAATATCGTCTTTATCAGTATAAAATTTTTCATCTTGTTCTAATAAATAAGAAATAATTCTAGCTGAAAACTCAAGTTTATCAGCGAAATAACATTATTAATACTGCAACTGAGGTGCAGTTGAGTTTGTTGCGTTCCACCTTTATTTTTTCACCTCACTTAAATACGGCTAATTTCTACAGAAATGAAGTTCACAGAAAATCTTGAAGTTACTTTGTACGTCATAGTGAAATCGTTTCCTTGTTTTTGATATCGGAGGAGACCATTTGAAATAATAGTCGCGAGTGATTTTAATATTGCCGTTGCGTAAAAGGCTGATGCTTAGTACGTTTTGAAGACAATAAAATTAAAATTTTTTGGTTAGTCTCGATGAGTGTATTATTAGAAGCCGCAATTTCCCGTCACATTTTCGCGTCTTCTGATTCACTTGTTGCAACATCTTCTAGATTTTTGGATAACACATAAAGCATTTCTTATCTTCTTTCCTCCAATTGTTATTTTTTTTGTATTATTCCTCCTGTAAAAACCCTACGACGGCTAAAGGATTCGTTAAAATGAGCTCTGATGATGTGCACAAATGTCTTTAATTATCAACAGCTGTTCCAAGTTCGGTGCAGTCTATATGCTGGATAAGAGGAACAAGAAAAAAGTCCTGTTTAGAAACTTTTACCAGCAATATAATCTATACAGATTCATCAACTTCAAAAGTTCTTATACATCTTTAATTGTTCGATATTTCCAACCTGACTTGTTCTATGTAGTTAATCGTTTAAAGCAGTTGCTCACATTAGCGATTTTAGATGATCGCTATGATGGAAGCATCTTTGACCGGAATTTTTACTATAACGATGGATTTACGAGGAGAAAAGAGAGGAGGTGAAAAGGGGGAAAAATGAAACTAATAGAAGATAATAATGAGTAGTTTTAAAAACCACTACAAAATGCTCGAATTTTTTAATTATTATTGAAATAAAAAGAAAAACAAGCTTTTTTTTCCGCAAAATGTACTTGCGTTTAGGATGTTTGTTTGGCTGTTTTTACCGTTGCGGCGCTGGTTGTTTATTGTCGAATAGACGCAAATAAATATTTGCTATTTGCAAGAAATTTTTGCAAGAAAAAAGAAATAAATGAAATAAGCGGCAGCAGTAGCAGCAGTGGTAGCAAAAAATAGCAACAGATAACAAACATATCAAAACATGGTTTACTATGGTGCAATGTCGTCATTGACCAATTTCTGCAAAAACAACAACAATAGCAAAACAACGTGCGAAGTGTGATCTTTGCTATAAGGATGTTTTGTTTTGTCTTTTTTCTTTTTGCTCAACCCGTTCGATGTTTACAAACAACGCAGTCGGGTTACTATAAATACTCGCTTGCGCGAGGTTGCATAATTGCAAAACATTGTTTTGACGGTAAAAATAGATCTTCGAAGTGCTGAGGAATCTTCATTGTATACATTAACCATGCCAGGAAGCAACGACCAGGTAAATCCATTTTATAGTTATGGTGTCACTTTTATACAGTAATATAATCCGTTGATAAATTTTAAAGACTTCTAGTATGACAGGATGTAATAACTGTGTCAAATGTTTAACCCAGAAAAGATGACTTCTCCTCGTCCTTAATTGTTATTCGAAGTCTTCATTTTTAGGGTATTTTTGAAGCCGCTAAACAGCAAATGTCTGATGCTGCACAGGCAACAAAAGATGCAATCAAAAGTGGGTATGATTCGGTGAGTTGTTCGGTTGATACACTGAAGTTACTATTTTTGTTATCACTTCTTTAAAATTAATTTTATCAGTGAGACACAGCTTTTATTAATGATATTTTTTCTTTTACAGTTAGTTGGCAAATCTGGAGAACAAAAAGCTGCTGATAAAGTCAAAAGTGGCGCTGATAAAGCTGCTGAGGCTGTTGAAGATTTCCGTGAGAAAGCAGGTATGCATTTTTGCATATTTATGAAAGAAACGATTATTTAATTGAAAGATCTGTCTCATTGAAATATGTCTAAATTGTTGTAGGTGACAAGGTTCACGAACTAGGCAACAAAATGCAACAATAAACCGTTGGTGCACATATTGCAATGGTACCAAAACCAAATTTTACAAACTAGTGGATAAACATATATTACTTATATATATACATATATGTGAGTTGTGTTATGATTGTTGAAAACAACTGGTCGTGTGATGAATGAATAAATTGCACAAATTTTCACCAAAATGTTATGTTCCATTCTACACGCATTAACGCATCGAAATTGAAACAGAAATCAAGTATCGCTATATTTAAAAAATCTACTACAGAGTGGTTAAAACTGAACCAGAAATTAGATACCACTGTATCCGAAGCATGCTTTTTAGGGAACGGTCTGCAAGTTTACCATCACAAAAGAGTTAATTGAAACTTCAATAATTCTAAGGTTGACGAACGGAAAACATTCAATTCTCGAGAAATCGCGAAAGAAAAGCATATTATTTTACATAAATTCCTTGGCAATTTAACGACAAACAAGAATTTGTTTTTTTAGTCAATAACAAATAACACTTCACTTATTTTCAATAATTACTTTCATCATCCAGAGTGAACAGAAAACTATTTTAGATTTTTTAAAAAACAACGTTAGATATGTTATACTTAGCATAGTGCCCGTTGTCAAAAATATTTTCGGGATGTTTACAGCACTTATTTCAATGATCACCAAAACTGACTCAGGGGAACGAAAAAAAAATAAGCAAAACAAGAAAGCATTTTTCTTTTCGTAATTTACGTTGAAAAAAAAAAGGAGGTTTATCGGTTAGTAAATGTTGTTTTTGAATGTTGATTAGTAGTGTTACACACGAATCTTTTGCACTTAAAGTACTACCGAGCAAAAATTATGAATAGTGCCAATGACTACGAAGAAGGGTTCCCAAAATTTTTACTATTTCTTAACAATTTTCTTCTTTTGGTATGAGATTATTACCTTTAGGAAACCTTTAAGCTATTTACTATATGCAAATTAAAAATTCTTGTACAGAGCTATTTTTTTATGCCGTTAAACTTACGCTATCGGCGGGCTCCAGATGATGACAGCGAAGTGTATCGGAAGATTTTTGCCACCTGTTTGTTCAAATATGTTTCATTTTTGCGGCACAAAAATAAAGTTCCGTAATTGTTTAACAAACGGTTGCCAATTACGTGTGCAAAAAAAAATTTTACTTATTTAGTAACTGCCAACAAAAAACAATACAATAATGGAACAAAAAATATTAAAATGGAGTTCCTATTAGCAACAGTCCAGCAAAAAAAACACGATTATGAGTGTTGAAAAAGATAAAAATCATAAAATTGGATGTAACATCAAACAATCGAATGTTTTGCGGTTATCTGCAGCTTTTAAATACTATAATTTTTACGCTTCACTTCGACATTATTTCTTTTATTTTCAGACTTAAAAAAAAAAAAAAAGAAAAAAATACTACGAAAAAATTAGCCAAAAGAAAAGTTAAAGGAACATTTGCAGGTATAATAAAGAAAAAAGATTTTCTTTTTTTTTTTTTCATATAATAAAACCCTAGTAAAATATGTGATTATATATTTACAGCTACTGTTGTAAAATTGGATGTAACATCATAGGTCATCTTCCATTATCGTCGTCATTGAGCTGTTGTTGTTTGCTCATCACAACTGTCAGTAGATGCCCCTTTTTCCTCCCGACCTTCCATCTGCATATATCCGTCCTTTAACAATCGGTTCTTGCGCCATTTCATTGGTGGCCTTTTGCAAACAGAGATCACCCTTTGGTTTGCAAACACAACCCGGGGAAACCCTGGAGTTTATGCTCGTCAGTTTCCCACGGAGCTGCGTTATGCGACATCTATGAAAACATAGCATTGTTTACTCCGGAAAGCCTGCTATATAAATAGCAGTAGTTCGTAGGGTAAGGCATCATTTTGCAAAGAAGCCTCCTTGTTTTGCATTGACTATTGCTGTCTCACCGCTTTTACACATTTTGTTCGCTTCTTCCTACAGTTTAGGATAAGCTATGCCTGGAACTAATGAAACCGTTAGCTGTTTAAATTAATCTTTTATTTTTGCTAATTTCGCCGTTCAATTCTTTTGAGCAATGAACATTTAAAAAAAAAAAAAGAAATGTGTTTTTGAACACTTCTATAATTCATTTGGACAGTGAAATCATTTCCTAAAGTTAATAACAGCATCTTAATAGTAATTTTTTGCAGCAAAGTCATTTCCAAGCTGCCAAAGACCATCTGTGCCATGCTGCTGAAGCAGCTAAAGAAGCTATAAAAAGTGGCTACAATGCGGTAATCAAACATTCCTGCTAATATTTTTAATTGTACAATAACTTTGACACTCGTAGTTGAATTAATAATGGCTTCAGAATTTATTGTTTTTTTTATAGGCTGTTGGGACCGAACGATCTTTTGAACAGAAAACAGCAGACAAAGTAAAGAGTGGAGCTGACAAAACAGCCGATAAAATAGGTGAAGTACGCGATAAAGCAGGTAAGAAGAATGGTTTTTGAGTTTCGATTGAAAGGCACATTTGACAGATGAGCAACTTCATTTCTAAGTAGATCATCAAAACGTTAGTTAACTGTGTTTGAAAGTGTTTGATGTGCTATTTTAATATTTCAATTTCAGGTGAAAAAATTCACGAATTAGGCAACAAAATACAGCATTAAACTGAAGAAGATACGCTTGTCGAATGTTGTTAAATCTGCCTAATTATCATATTTGATGCTTATGGTTTTATAAAAATTGTTTCTGTGAATATTAATTGGCCATAATGTTAATATGTTTTGTATTTTTAAAAAATTGTTTGAGTTTTAATTTTGGTTCAAAGTGATCCAATAAAATTCGCTAAGCCAGCTTTGTTTTTTTTTGCTCTTATTAGCAGCACCGGTATGTGATCTTTTTTAGTCAAAAACAAACATTTTTACGTTTATCACTTGGTACAAGTCGAAAGGAAAAAACATCTATAATAATTTACTCGGAAACATATGTAAAACTGCTAGACTGTTCGCTGTGAATGAACATAACTTCGGTTGTATGAGTTATCCTCTGATTAAAAAATTTCGCTCAGGAACAGCGCCAGTAATGCCGTGGCTCGTAAAGTGCGTGAATTCAAGTTATCTCACTTGCCTGAAGTCTGTTTGCAGCCTTACTCGTATTGCTGCATCACCAATCGAAATAGAGCATAACTGATTTGTCGGTTGAAAAAAAAAATGAAAAAAATTCAATCTTTATTCAGTATATTATCAGTTGGACGTAAAACTTTGTGCTCAAACTAAGAAGAACTAACTGATAAACAAGCTCACCTACAGCTTCTAGACATTTCGATAGACTGCTCATGGGTAAAAAAGACTCTACAAACTGAGCTTTCTCAGCCATAAGAATTCAACAGTATTTCACTGATATATCTGAGTGCGAAACACCGATCGCCTTTCGAAAGGAATCAGGCATTTTTACAGCCAAAATACATTGTAAATATATGCAGACGACCTATGATAATTTTACTTAGAAACTAGAAATGTAATTCAAAGACTCCTGTCAAAGAAGTACAATAAAACAATTTGAAAAGAGTGAGGCTACTGCGATAACAGTTTTTTGAAGTCCATTTGCTTCTAAAAGCCTCAGAGAGCTGAAAATCCAAACTGTACGAACTGGTATTCAGAGTGCCGTTCCACATCTCTGTGTAACGAGGCGCTCCTTAAAGGAAAACAAGTGAATAATACTGCAGCAATAAATACCATGTTAAAGTAACTCAGAGGTGCGGTAAGATATTATCAAAGAATTTAGCAGGATGTGTAATGATATCGTAACAGCGAAACCAAGAGAGCAAAATCTAAAAAGTAAAAATTATGATTTCCAGAATATATGAAAAAAGATTATTTCTAATTATTCGTCACTTCTTTGCTAACAACTTCTAATGCCGCTTAGAGATGGATCAGCATTTACTGGTTTGATCCCTCGTTAATCAAAACAACTTAACAACTAGCAACTGCAAAAATTTCGAAAAACCACGATTCTCTGAACAAACATAGCAGATCATTGGTTTTTGTCTGCAAGTGAATGTCGATCAGTGAGCGTCATCAGAGTTGTTTACAAACAATACCGCAACGCACGACGCCTACATATAATATATAAATAAATTGTAAATTATATTCGAATAACAGCTAGTTGGTGTCAACATGCTGAACTGTCGTGCTAAAATTGCTCGCTCAGCTTATGCTTTGGTTGAGAATGCTGCAAGATCCAAGGGATCGTCTACTGCTGCAACAGTAAGTTTTTGTTCACAAATTCTATCCATTAACTGACCAACTGGCAAAAGTAATTGACAGTTGGCCCACACGTCATACACCGATAACAGGCCATTTCCTTACTGACATCTTTAGTTTCTCTAATAGCACACAATGTGCGAAAATGCATCTCGACTCAAGAAAGAATTTATTCTTGCAGGATTTCATTGCAACAGCTAAAAGAGTAAACTCTGAAAACGACGAAACTATCAGAAATGCATCGCATGATATACTGGAAAGCGCTAAAAACGATCCGCTGTGTGCTGCAACGGTAATTATTCCTACTGCAGTACAAAAATAATAATGTGGCTTCCGTTCATTGGCAACTCGCAATTAGATTTAACATTTACTGCTTTTCACCGTATCCTGTAATGTAGCTGGATGGTTGTTGTGTAGCATCTTCTCCATTTATAAATTTGGTACGGTTTTTCCAAATGAACATTTTAGGAATGCGGTGACCGTGGTTTTACTGATCACACGTTTCGAGATAGCCATTTTAATTCTACCGACGCTATTAAAAAAGCTACCGACCACTATTACCGTCCTCAGCGTAAATTTTTTATTTTGGGCGCTTTTGTCTTTAGTTATACTAGTAACATAGATAAGTTTTCTTTTCAGAAGAAAAATACAGTTTTCAAGGGCAAGCAAGAGAAAATCTTCAGGGACAAAGCCAAGATGCTTTACGTCGGGCGCAGCAAGAAGCAAGATTTCGCGACTACGGTGAACGTAAGTTGCTTTCTTTATCCGCATC